TTTGGGGTACCAAGTGAATCTGCGCCATTGTTCTTGGTAGCAATGAGCAGCGCCAACAGCGGCTCTAAAATCGACAGATAAGCCTTTGAAAAAATCCAATATTCGCAGCCGTTTGCTTGGAGTTGCATGCATAAATTGATGGGCGAACATTTGCAAGTGGTCAGAAAAACAACAACAACAACAGACAAAAAGGAAATAGTGCAGCAAAAGTCGCCAGAAAAAATTGCAGCTGCCGCTACTGACATTGCTGGCTGCGCATCGCATAATCGTCTACCGACTGCCGCTGTCTTAGAAGTAAGCGCAACAAATGCACTCGTACATAGGCCAGTAAGAAAGAAAACCAATAAAGATTGCAAAAAAAATATTAAAAAATAAATAAAAAGAAGAAAAGAAAACAAATAGAAATTTTAACGACGCGCGCAACTCAACCAAATGTAAGCAACAGCCAACCGTACGCATAGCCAGTGAATGAGCAACACTAAATCGCCAACCAACCAAACAAGCAAGCAACAAATGAACCAACCGACAACGAATTCCAAGCCATACCCTCAGGAATCGTGACTTATCGATCGCTTTGATATGCGCATTGAATTCCTGTAATATTTCGCAACAGTCGATACACACCAACATCATCAGCATCAGCATCAGCATCAGCATCAGCACCGCCAGTGCCAACGCCACCAATGGCCCCTTGAAATGAAAAGATCGCCAGCAGTCAGCTAACATCTTGGCTACTCCAGCCAATTGGCTGCGCTTGTGCTTTTGCCACTGCAGGGCGAGTGTGAGTATCGCCAGTAGTTGGTTACTTTTGTTGTTGCAATTCGCTGTCCGCCCCTGATCGCATTCATGTTGTGGTGCGCTGATGATGATGACGACGACGATGGCTGGCAAAGGCGACACAACGACACATACAACAGAGAGAGGCTCAAGCTGGCCAAAGAATGAACGATAATTTGGTGGACGACAACGACGACGACGATGAGTATGGTGTAATGATTACCGGCCGCCAGATTCCTTTACATTGTTGTGATGATGCGGCTGCTGGTGATGATGCTGTGGCGATGTTGACGATGATCGCCAAAGCGCGGGCGCAACAGTTTTTTGGTTTTACAATGGTTACCCGCTAGCTGGTTGCTATGTATTTTTTTTTTTTTTTCAAATGTATGTATGTATCCGTCTGTATGTCGCTTGTCGGCCTGTCGACGTTCTCGTTCGAAGTCATCGTCATTGTCCTCTATGCACACGTTAATGCTGGGTAAATGCGGTGGCGGTTATTGAAGTCAATTTAACCTTGAAATATGCGCTCGTTGGTAGCTGTTTTGCGCGCGTTGCAATTCCCTCTGATTTGGATCAT